TATACTGAGTATATTTAGTAGGCAGGTTTTGAGGCAAGCCGCTTTATTTACTTCACATATTATGAATTCAGAGATGTTTTTGACCGAGCTTGACCAAATCCCAAACCTGATTTATTGTTACGCAGGAAAAATAGTTCCGAATGATGAAACTAAAAAACTCATTGTAAATGATATTTGTTTTCATATACATGTACTGTGATGCATATATATATTAAATGATGATTTTATGTTATGTGTGTTCAGTTATACTGACTAAACAATGGAATAAGTATAGGTTAACTTTGTTCACTTAGGTTCAAACTTAGTCAAGACTTAGGACTGAGGTCATAATTGATATCCTTTATATAAAGTTATGCTCCACAATCATTAGATATGAACTTGTGACCATGGCAGACCTGAGGTATATTGACTATAGGGAACAAAACGCTTCTCCTCTAGACAGTAAAGCCCCTCAAATTTTGAACACACTTCACCCATCAAAACATTTTACAACATCATCCCTCACTTTTTCTAGGTTAAAATATTTCAATATAATACCTTAATGAAGTGTAAATCAAACTCTTGTGTACAACACTAATTGTTCCCAATTAGTATCTATCCAAGACAAACTCTGCTTCCATTTAACACTTAAAACTCTAAAAATTAAGCCTTTATAAACTGAAAAGCTGAAAAATAACCATTTCTGTGTCTATGTAACTTAATAATGTAAACAAAAAAAACCAAAACAAAACAATTTATAATATGATTTCGTCTGAGATGCTATTATTATTTACTAAGTGACTTCTAAGAGTAACAAATTGGGTATCATAATGTCTGATACAAAAATCACACTAATGGCAGTGTTATATTTCTTGTATAGATAGTTTTATCACTGGTAACTTAATAATGCTTCTGAATTTCTTAAATGGACTTTTCCAGCTTTAATTCTTTGGGGTGTGATTTTGGCACTCAGTCTTTATACATTAATTTTTGTGATACTGAAGGACGATGAAAGCTTTGTAATGAGAAACCAGCTAATGATGTAAAGACTGGGCAGCTTTGAAATGACAGACTGACAGACAGACCAGCAGATGGGCTCGGTACTAATTAATTGGTTAAATTAAGGGCAGCAATGTGCCAAGTTTAAAATATACCTTTCATCCATTCTTGCACTACTGTGTCTGTGCTGATTTTGTTTCAGGCACCAATCAACTCCTAGTGCAGGGACTTTTACTTGGATTTTTACCAATTTTACCATGTCCACCAGTGAGGCTTTTTAAAAATGTTTGAAGTTACCAGGCATGGCTATAAATAGATTTGATTGGTTAGTTTCTGCTAAGACATCATCGCATGCTAGCATTATTTAGTGCTGTCACTATGTCATACAGTATAAAATAGACTTACTTGGGAATTAAGAATATTTGGGTTTTTTCCTAGCTGATCCGTAGTTACAAACAAATTTTTTTTTCAGCTTTGAAAATAAGTGAAACAGGTTGACTTATTTATTGAGAAATGAAGTGCACTACGGTGAAGCTATAATGGTCAAAGTTAGTTTGTACCTACAGATTAGCTCGGAAAAACCCACATTTGCCGAGTTCCTGATAATGTCTATTCATACATTAGTCATGTACTAATATTATACCCTTCAAAGTCAATTGTGAAACAAATAAAATAGTGAAACTGTACTATAAATTTACAATAAAAATGTGAAAATTATAGATAATTATAGTTTAGCAATGGTTTTAAAAATGTCAGTAAATTTTAATCCTGTCTTGAGTTTTAATTCTATGATTTTCAATCAATTATATTATAATTATATATACGAAAAAAAGATAAATAAAATGCTGCCAACTGAGATCCACTGAATTAAAGGATTAAGTTATTGATTTGAAATCACTGCCTGGCTGTCAATGAGTTGAAAAAAACAAGGTTCATTAACTTTTCCCTCACATTTGATAGCACTTCATCAGATAAGCAGGTTTTTGCTTGCATCAGCAATTTTATTAGTGATAGATGCTTGATATAGCCATCAGCCTAGAGTGTTAATGATTGATCAGAGAAGATACGTTTTTCTTAATATTGATTTTGAAAACTGATTTAATCTGCATGAGAAATTAAAAAGAAAATTAATAGAATAGCTAAAGGTGCTGTGAGTAATTATATGTACCATAATCTCTTCTAATATAAACCTCAAATATATACCTTATCTCTCTTAATATTTACCTCAAATATATACCATATTTCTCCTAATAATTAACCTCAAATATATGCCATATTTCTCCTAATAATTAACCTCAAATATATGCCATATTTCTCCAAATAATTAACCTCAAATATATGCCATATTTCTCCTAATAATTAACCTCAAATATATGCCATATTTCTCCAAATAATTAACCTCAAATATATGCCATATTTCTCCTAATATTAACCTCAAATATATACCATATTTCTCCTAATAATTAACCTCAAATATATGCCATATTTCTCCTAATAATTAATCCCAAATATATATCATATTTCTCCTAATATTAACCTCAAATATATGCCATATTTCTCCTATTAACCTCAAATATATGCCATATTTCTCTTATATTAACCTCAAATATATACCATATCTGTACTAAATAAATATAAACCTGAAATACATTACCATATAACTTATGATATAAACCTTAAATATATATACCATATCTCTACTAATATTAACTTGAAATACATTACCATATCTCTACTAATATAAACCTCAAATACATAACCATATTTCCTCAAATATATATACCATATTCTACTTAAATAAACCATACCTCTACTTATATATTCCTCAAATATATATGATACCTCTACTTATATAAGCCTCAAATATATATCACATTACCCTAATATTGACCCTCAATCTCTCATAATATTAACCTCTAATTTATAGTATATTTGTCTTAAGAAACCTGGCATCATAACTTACTTGAAATGAAAAATATGAGTTGGGGTGGCTGTTAAATAAAGAGGGTTGCAATATTTTAGTATGAGTATAATATATAATGGGTGAAATTCAGTATGGTTGTTATTATTAATCTAATATAAATAAGTTATATTGAAAGTAATACTTTATCAAAACTAGAGTGTTTTTTGTTGGGCCTTGAAAAAGGAGGTTACTTTTGTGGGCAGCGTGTTCGTTGTCGGCGTCCCCTAGTCTAAAGCTTGTCCGGAGCATAAACTCAGTCACTTTAAGTCGGATTGACTTCAAACTTGGTATGCATGCTTTTTTCAATAACCCAAAGTGCAGTGCACAAGGACTGTACTCTGCACTTCTTTGATTTTTGAGTTTTTATTGCCCCTTTGTAAATTTTTCATACTTTAATTTTGTCCGGACCATTTCTCCTAATGTATAAAAGCTATGGACTTGAAACTCCATAGGATGATAGATCTCATTAAGAAGAAGTGCAGTGCACAAGAACTGGTACTCTACATTTTTATTTTTATGAGTTTATTGCCCTTTGTTAATTTCATACTTTTTTTTTGTCCGGGCCATTTTCCGAAAGTATAAAAGCTATGGTCTTGAAAACTTCATAGGATGATAGATCTCATTAAGAAGAAGTGCAGTGCATAAGAACTGGTACTCTGCGTTTCTCATTTTTTTGAGTTATTGACCATTGTTTATTTTCATACTTTATTTTTGTCAAGGCCATTTCTCCTCAAGTATGAAAGCTATGGACTTGAAACTTCATAGGATGATAGATCTAATTTAAAAAAAAGTGCAGTGTACAAGAACCGGTACTTTGCATTTCTTAATTTTGAGTTTTTACCCTTTATTAATTTTTATACTTTATTTTTGTCCAGGCCATTTCTCATAAATTATAAAAGATATGGACTTGAAACTTCATAGAATGATTGATCTTATTGATAAGAAGTGCAGTGCACAGAAACTGCTGCTCTGCACCTATTTTTTTTTGAGTTATTGCCCTTTGTTAGTTTTCATATTTCATTTTTGTCCTGGCCACTTCTCCTAAACTATATTGTTCACAAGGCGACGCATCCGACTCGCGGAGTTCTAGTTTTTTCCATACAATATGGAAGTAATGCTGTTACATTTTGTACTAAAATTTTATTTGAGTATCTGTTATTCTTCCAATGTACAAATAACAAAGTTTTGTTTACAGTAATGGACTTTGTATTAAAAGCTGAAATCAATCATATCATGTTATTTTTGTTTGCTGAAATGAAAGCTTTTAGTGATAGAACATATCGTATGCTCTATGTAATAGAAAAACCAAATGATGAGGGAAATGTGAAATAAATTCCAGAAAAAATCTGTGGAACAGTAATGGAACTGACCTTAAAACAAGGTTATGTGTTTGCTTTGGCTTTTAGTTACTGAATTTTGATGATATCAGATGATGCTAGCGTGCTATAGGCACTTAAATGGGCAATACTGAGGTTAAAATTAAGATTAAATGGACTATGATAAGACATGGCTGGGACGGTGCATTGTACTGGGCTATGATGGTTGACTGCATTGGGCATATTGGGCTATGACAGTGGGCATATTGGGCTATGACATTTGACTGCAGTCAGCTTTGATGGTGGACTTGGCTAAAATGATGGAAGACTGGGGCTATGACTGTTGACTGCAGTGGGCTAAAATGACAGTGGACTGCAGTGGGCTTTGAGGATACATTGGGTTTAAATGGCATTGGACTGCAGTGGGTTATGATAGTAGACTAGACTTTGACAGTGGACGTACTTAGCTATAGTGGGCTATGACTGTGTAATTAATAATACTCATAAATTTTAGGATGCCATGTCAAAGGGCAGGTAGACCTAAAATTATTATTAAAATTATTAAAGTTATTCCTTCTAACTTATTGGTCCAGGCAGTAATACCTGAAAGAATAAAAATCTCAAAAAAAAAATTTACAGCCATTTCATATACATAAAAAACACCTCCGTGAAGACAACTTTATTTACAATGAAAAATTTTGTATATTTTGTTACATAAAGTTTTGTTTTGTTTTATTACACAGATTTTTTACTGGTGTACGAGGAGGACACAGATAAGTCACAAGGGTTACAGACACAGAAAGGTTCACTTGATCATAAAAGATACAAATTCCTGGAAAGTTTGAGAAAAACTGGCCTAGAAATTGAAGAGGTGAGTGAAGGATATCTTTTTTAGGAGACATTGGTACCTTTTTAGCTCGACTTTTCTATGAAAAGGGGAGCTATCCTACTCGCCCCGGCGTCGGCGTCGGCGTTAGCGTTGGCGTCACACCTTGGTTAAGTTTTTCGTACCACCCCACTTTATTTCAGAAGTATTACAAGTATGGCTTTGAAACTTACCATACTTGTTCACCATCATAACCTCCATCTACAGACAAGAGTACATAACTCTGTCAAGGTTTTTGACAGAATTATGGCCCTTTTTTGACTTAGAAAGTGTATTGAGCTTGGTTAAGTTTTTTGTACCACCTCACTTTATTTCAAAACCATTGGAGGTATTGCTTTGAAACTGACCATACTTGTTTACCATCACGACCTTCATCAACAGACAAGAGGACATAACTCTGTCAAGGTTTTTGACAGAATTATGCCCCTTTTTGACTTAGAAAATACATTGAATATGGGTAAAATCCACTTATTGCCTTAACCCTTTGAGATATTGCTTTGAAACTTTTAATGCTATTTCACATCATTACCCCCATCTGTACGCAAGAGAAGGTAACTCTGTCAGGGATTTGTTTTAAAAATTAAGGCCTTTTATCGACTTAGAATCTTGGTTAAGTTTTTTGTACCAGTCAACTTTTTGACTGAACTGGTTGAGATTTTAAATTGAAAGTTGGGATACTTGTTTACCATCATGGTCCCAAACATGGGCAGGAGAAGGTAATTCTGTTAAGGATTTTATTTGAATTATGGCCCTTTTTGACTTAGAAACTCAGTTAAATTTTCATTCTTGTCCACTTGTTGACCTAACCATTTGAGATATTACTTTGGAAGTTGGAGTTCTTATGTGCCATCATGAGACCTATCTGTAAGCAAGAGAAGATAACTCTGTGAAAATGTTTCTTGATTTGTACTTAGAAATTCCTAGTTAAAGTCTTGTGTGCCCTTAACTGTCAAAGTTTTGTTTTATAGGCAAGCACTAAAAAAGTCGAGCGCGCTGTCCTTCTGACAGCTCTTGTTTTCAACCCAGGGCCTAAAGTTATATAAAGACTTTTTTTTTAGCTCAAACCAGCACACAATGTACACTGACCAATGGAATTCCTGAGATTTGAGACAGACCTCGGAAAAAGTAATATAACCGCTAGGTTTGGTTTTCCCTGTGGAAATCTTTCCATGTGGAGATCTAGATATTTTACTGGGGAATGTTGGCAGCAGTGGGCAGATAGTCATGAACTATGTGCAACTCCTCAAGGGGTCATTATCCTCTTTCATTTCTGAGAGATTCCTTCAATAATGTCACATCACGATTGTTATAAAGTGACTTTTAATAATGGCTCTTCCCAAGTGCATATTGGCAAGATTTTATGATTAAATCATTGTCAGTAAAATTGCAGTTTCTTTGGAGGTTCTTTTTGGAGGAAAATGCCAATTTCCTATCATAAGTTAAAAAGTTTTTATTTTACCATTTTGAAAAGAAATGGTTTGAAAATCAAAATTATAACTCTTGAATGAGGTATTATTCAATTCATGTATTCCTATGTCTTCCTAACTAAGTTTTCAATTTACCCTGTTAAATATATCTAATTGATTTCAAGAGTCCTGCTTTGGAACTTAAAATGTTAACGAAGCTTAGCTTCCAAAAAGATAAGGGGATTTGGGTACCGTTTAACCGGGATGTTTTCATGGCTGTTTAATTTTTGAAAAGTCATCCTTTGGGAAATTTTTTCATTTATAAAATTAAAAAAAAGTTTTTTTTGGTTACAAAGTTTAAAAAATAATTCTCGTTTTAAAAATTTAAAAAAAAAACAAATTTCCCCAAAATCATCCCTATATTTGTTTTGGGAGAGGACAGTGAGGCACAAAACTATTTAGAAGTTAATTCTTTATGCCCGGGAAATTCTTTCTGTAACAAAGCTTCCCAATATTACATGTCGGAAGTCATTATTATGCATATGACATAACCATCTAGAAAACTGAGCCAAAAAGGAAAACCACCATCAGTTTCACTGCAACGATTAAACAAGCCCCAATTTTGGATACCCCAGACCCCTTAAAAATAAATAAAACAACGGATATAAACCCTAAAAAATGTCGGCATATAGGGGATGATATAAAAAATTTACTAGACCCACTGACAATTTAATGGGAATCCCATAAACCTGATATTCATCAGATTTATAGAAATTTTTCAGGATGGGGAGAGAATTTTAAATTTTTGTTTCCCAATTTTTTGGGCAACAAATCCCCTGCATGACAGTTTAATTTTTTTCCGCCATTTTTTTTGCAAAGTAAACATTTTATTTACTAAAAAAAGGCAATTGGGTTTTACAAAAAATTGTGAAAAAAGATTTAAAAATTTTGGAAAACGCTTACAAAATCGGGCTAAAAAATTAAAAGAAAATTTTCTAACTTTGTTTCCAATATTTTTTCAGGGGAAAAAAAAATTAATTTGTTTGTGTAATTTTTTAAAAAACAATTTTTATTGTTTGAAAATACTTTTTCACAAAAAAAAAAGAAGATATTTTTTTTTTTTTTTAAAATGTGTAATAATGAGCTTTTTATTTGACTGAATAAGTACTGGAAAACCTTTAAAACACAGGTATTTTTATGACTGGAGAAAAAAATTTAGTTTGAATTAATGGGGATGATATTTCACAACAAATTTGGGTTTCAAATTTGGTTGCTAAAGGGTGTTTTTTTTCCCTTTTTCTCCTTCTCTCAAAAGGGATTGTCAAGTTAGCTTTCAACGTTTTCAATTCTGCATTGAATTTCATTTTCTTATTGTTAATTTAAATTTTTAGACAACCAGGCTGTTTACACATTTTTTTCCCTTTCTTTAGTTTTTTTAATAGAAAGGGGCACCAAAACACGAGGCAAATCTGTTTTTGTACGAGGGTGAAAACCCCCCCCCCACTTCTTTTGATGCTACCCCTTTCTTTTGGTTGTCACTGTAAATTTTAATTAAACCCAGAAAAAAATGAGCCAACCCAAGGGGGCATGATCGGGATTGGGGTAACTAATACCTGCACTCCAGTTAACGCACTGCAATTGTAATACATTATGACATGGGTTTTTTAAACCCTCTGAAATTTTTTAACAGAAAGGCCCCCAAAACCCTATGATACAATTATATTTTAATAATTCCCCATGAATATCTTTTCACTTTTTGTTTCAAATTAGCAATCTTTTAAAATCTGACATTTATTTTTTATTATGATGCCTGATCTTAGTAAATATCTCACAAAAAAATTTTTATATGGGTTAAAATAAATTTTTTGGGAAAACACTTCATGAAATATAATGGAGATGATACTAGAAATTTTCCCTTTAAAATTTGATCAGCCGCCCCCACCATTATTTTCTTTTTGGTTTTGGGTTTAATACTGTCATTGTAAATTTTTTTTAAAACAGTTGGAATTTTGTCTGTCTGTTCTTTGACTGATCTATAATTTTATTTGACGGGCAAAATTTTTTAATTGAAATGCTTTTTGCAATAAACAATTACACCCTTTAAAAACAAAACAAACTAATGCTCAGTTAAAAATTTCCCCCACTTTTAATTTACCCATTTAAATTGGGAAAAAACGATTTGAACAATATTGGAAAGTTTAAAAGGGTAATGTGGAAAATCTAAAAAAGGGATTTTGGAAAAGGTTTTTTTAGAGCCCCCCCCCAAGGGATAAAATTGGTTTTGCCCCCCTATTCGTTACTTTCAAGGGTTTCCCTAAATGTATAAACCCCAAAAAAAAGTAAATGAGCCACGCCTTGACAAAACCAAAAAATGCGTTTGCGACCAGCGGGGATCCGGGAACCAGCCTGGTTTCCCCCGCGGGGTTTGATCAGAACCAGGCTTTCGTTTAAAACCCCAAAACCCAAGTAGAAAAACTGATACGAACAGCAGGGATTCCTGATCAGATTTTGCGCCAGGTTTGGTCTGGATCCATCTGGTTGCAAGTCCCCAATTTTTTGGTTTTGTCATGACGCGGTTTAAAAAATTTCATTCCGGGAAAGGGGATTTGAAAATGATTAATTTCAAATATAAATTACAATATTTATTTCAAAATGAAGTTCGAAAAAAAATGATTTGGGTTAAAAATTTAAAAAAAATAAAAATTTTAAAGCATAAGTTTGTCGGGTGTTTTGCTTTTTTTATCATATGACAAACATATATATATTTTTTATACTTTAATTTAAATTGAAAAACATTTGGAAAAAAGGGCATGTAAGTTATTTTGGGTTTCACCCTTTGGACAAGATAGGTTCCCAAGGGTTTTGGTATTTAACGGGCAAAAAAGTTTGGGTTAAATTTTCTAAATTAACCCTTTTGCCTGAGGGAAAACCCAATCGGTTTTTATATGGGCCCAAAAAAAAAGGGAGGGAAATTTAAAAATAAATTAAAAGGTTAATTCAAAAAAAGGGAAATTTTAAATTAAATTTTTTAAATAACTTTTTTTTTGGCAATGGTTAAGGGAATAAATGGGTAAAAGGGAAAAATAAAAGTTCATAAACACTCTCCTTTTTTAAACCTTTTGGGAACCCCCAACCGCAAAAATAAAAAAAGGTAAGACTACACTTTTAAAAAATTTTTGGTTTTTTTAAAAAGGGTTTAAAATTTCCCGGGATTTTTTTTTAACAAAAAGTAAAGCTAAAAATTTCCAGGGGTGGTGATAATTACCCAAACAAAAAAATTAAAAAAAAAAAAAAATTGAAAATTAATTTAAAAATTACATTTGAGGCAAAATTTTAATTTTTCAACAAAAAAATTTTTTTTGCATTTAAAAATTAACACAAAATTTAAAAATTTTTTTAAAATTTTCCACATCCCAAAAAAAGGTAACATTTTTACTGTTATACAGAAAAAAAATTTGACCATTTTTTTTGTTTCACTTTTTATTAATTTTAAACAAAAAATGGAAACAGGTAAAATTTGGTTATGCCCCTTTGGGGGACCCCTCCCCACAAAAAACCTTTATTGGGACTCTTTTTAGT